CCCCCCCTCCCTCCTTCCTTCCCTCCCTTCCTCCCTTCCTCCCTCCCTCCCAGCTCCTGCACCAGGAAACGGCCTGGATCCCGGCGGCGGCCTGACCCGTGAGATCCCTAACCTGGCAGGCGGGCGGGGTTGGAGCCGTGCTGAGGGTGGGGGTAAAAGAGGAGCTGGGCCTTTGGGCTGCATTGGGGGGAACCGAGAATAGGATGGTGTCGGCAGGAAGCCCTTGGCTCTGGGTTTCCCAGGAGGACAGTCGTGAAACATGGATTCGGCCACACAGCTGGTAGAGCGTTGGGGGGCAGAAGGCCTGGTCCCAGGAGCTGTAACCCTTTGCTTCTCAGGCCAGACTCTGATTCCTGCCCAGTTCTGATCTCTTTCCTCTTTCCAGGACTCCAAGCTGGCCGGGAGGATGAAAGGCCCCAGCTGGGGGCTCCTTGCCACCAGCACTGGGTCCTAAGAGCTGCCATCCAGGCTGGGTGAGTGTCATTATTTTCTCTGTCCTGGGAAGCCCTTGCTTTTCCCCACCTTTCTCTTCAGCCCTGTCCCCTCCCTGTCGCCACTTCTTGCTTCTGGGGAGGACCTAAGTAAGCCCCTTCCTGTAGCCAAAAAGATGTTCACTGCTGCCGGTGGGGTGGGGGAGGGGGTGTCAGGATGCCTTAGAGCTGGTTTTTGTCTTTTAAAAAGAATCTGAAGTATTTAAAACTAAAATATTCTTGTTTTACATCTAATTTGGAATGTTCCAAATGTACTGGCCAGCCCCTCGTGTCCTGGCCCACACCATGACATAAATCTCTTGTTCTTGCCTGCCTTTCCCAGTAGTCTCACCCTCCCACCCCTCACCCCTGACCCCCATCACACCGTACTTGGGTTGGCCAGACTGGAAATCCCCCTCTGGGTCCCTGTCCATACCTCCCTCGTATTCATGCCAGTCTCATCCTTGTCCCATACAGCCGCCCGGATGGCGACCCCAGCCTCGGCCCCAGACACACGGGCTCTGGTGGCTGACTTTGTAGGCTATAAGCTGAGGCAGAAGGGTTATGTCTGTGGAGCTGGCCCTGGGGAGGGCCCAGCAGCTGACCCGTTGCACCAAGCCATGCGGGCAGCTGGAGATGAGTTCGAGACACGCTTCCGGCGCACCTTCTCTGATCTCGCTGCTCAGCTGCATGTGACCCCTGGCTCGGCCCAGCAACGCTTCACCCAGGTCTCCGACGAACTTTTCCAAGGGGGCCCCAACTGGGGCCGTCTTGTGGCCTTCTTTGTCTTTGGGGCTGCCCTATGTGCTGAGAGTGTCAACAAAGAGATGGAACCACTGGTGGGCCAAGTGCAGGAGTGGATGGTGGCCTATCTGGAGACACGCCTGGCCGACTGGATCCACAGCAGTGGGGGCTGGGTAAGAAGCTTCTCAATTGCTGCTCTGCACATCCCTCTGCAAAACTGATCTCCGGGGGAAGATGGGGGCTCCGATTGGCGGCTGGGGCAGCTGTGCTGGGAAGGAGGCATGGGGGTGCAGACTCTTTAGGTGGAGTCAGACTAAGATGCCCTCACTGTGAGCATCACATTGGACTCTGCACTCCAGGGCTGCCATGCAGTCATCACTGGATGGGCTCATGGGCCCAAGCAGAGGAGAGAATGCATGGCACTCAAGGAGTGCCTGCAGTCCAAAGGTGTTACGCCTGAGCACACATGGCATGGGAGGTGGGGAGGCTCAGGGATGGGTGATGTTGGGCAGGCCTTGGCAGAGGATGCCAGTTCTGAGTAGACATTTTGTGCCAAGGAAAGGATGGATTTTACTTAAGTCAGAGAGCACAAGTGAGCTGGCAAGGAACTCGGGGCAAGGAGGGGTTTGCAGTCAGCAGAGCTCTGAAGTCGGAGACAAGCTGGGAATGGGGTAGTGCTCACAGTGGATGGAACTGGAACTCTTCCTCTCCTCTTCTCTCCACTCTTTCCTCTCCTGATATCCCTTTCTCCTTCTTTCTCTCCTACTTCCCTTCTCTCCCACAGGCGGAGTTCACAGCTCTATACGGGGACGGGGCCCTGGAGGAGGCGCGGCGTCTGCGGGAGGGGAACTGGGCATCAGTGAGGACAGTGCTGACAGGGGCCGTGGCACTGGGGGCCCTGGTAACTGTAGGGGCCTTTTTTGCTAGCAAGTGAAAAAGGCCAAGGCCAGGAGGGGCTAGGTGTGGCTGGGAGAATAGAAACAGAACAGAGAATGCCCTTAGAAGAAGTGGGGTGAATGGATGGACATGCAACAGGGCAGGGCAGGGGAAAGGTAGAAGGGGAGGGAGCTGAATATGCCAGGCAGAATTGGAAGAGTGAGCTGGAGACCCTGGGGAATGTTTTAGGGAGGGGCCAGGGGGTGGAGTCATTCCGGGGGTGTGGGTGGGGGGAGGTGGGAGGGATCATCGCTATAGGTCATGCACAGGAAACTACCTGGAGCTTGGTTTGCAGCCCTGAGGAAGGTGGACTTGCATAAGGAATTGCGCCTCCATTGGATGAGTGGGATTTGAGGAACCTGGAGGGCTCATCTCTTTGAAATGGAAGCTTGGGGTTCTTAGGTGATTGGGGGAGGTGGCTGTGGCTGTCAGCTCTCTGACACGCGTGTGCATGTGCATGCTGGGCTGTTCATTTGATCTGGTGGTGGTGAGCTTCTGAAAGGAGAAAATATTGCCTCTTGCATTGGCAGCAAGGGACAGCCCTTGGCCGCTCCTCCCAGTCCCTTCTTCCCCTTCCCCTTTTCCTGAAGTCTCAAGGCTGAGGGAGAAACACTGTATCCAGACTGAGGGTGCTGGCTCTCCTCTGCAGAAAGTTTTTGGCTGGGCTTTGGAGAGAAGAGCAGCTCTGCAGCTGGCCTTGTTCCTTCATCAACCCCCTTCCTTGTGCATTGTGCACTTGCTGCTGCCTCCTGGGCTCTGACAGAAGGGCAAGGCTGTGGAGCCTGGGTGGGTGGGGGCTTCGGTAGCTGGGTCTGCCTGCCACCCTCCCCTCCCACTGGGGCACGATGGTGCCTAAAGTGTTCCCTATCTCTGGGACCTCTTTGCCTGAATTTAAACTCTAAATTGGGGCTCTAATTTTCCTTTTGAGGATGTAGACAAATGCTGGCCTCAAAAACAGTGTGGGTTCTTCACTCTGTCTCAGTTAAGACTGTCCATGTCTTGAGAGGACCATTTCAGCTCTGAGCCCCATGGGTGTGAGGGTGACAGGTACTCCATGACTGGCCTCTTCTGTGTGGTGGGCTTCCGTGCTGCTTTATGAGGGGCCAGGGGTATGGGTTCTAGAGTACCTACCATGACCTAGAAGCATTTCTGTTTCATTTGAAGCTACGCTGTTTGCATGGGTGTTACTTGTACCTCAGAGTCTGAGGATGCTAACTTTAGAACTCACAGTCCTTTAGAACAAATTCAAACTATAGCTTTTACTCTCGAGGAAGAAATGATTCACTCCAAATGCATGCCCTGAGCCAGACACACTGCTGCACTTTTCGAGGTGCTAAAATTGCTGCTCTCCAATGCTGACTTCATTCACAGTGCTCTAGAACTCTGCCCACAATTCTAAGCAATGATCAGCTTAGCTCGACCACAGTTGATGCTTCTTGGAGATTTTCACTTGGTCCCAGAATGTGGCAACATAGACAACTGTACTAGAATGTGGGACCAAATTGGCCTCAGGTTTAGTCCAGACCTTTGCTTTTGAAAGAGGGCTGTACTTTTTAATGGTATTCATGGGGGAGGTGGAAGACTGCATGTGCCACTGGGTGAGTACGCTGATACCAGAAACTCAAGAGCCAGTCTTCGGCAAGCAGTTGGGGTGGGGTGGGGTCTCTGACTTCCTCAGGACAAGCTAGGCCGGTGGTTTTCAAACTGCTTGGCAGAACCCCAAAGTGTCCTAGGGGTTGCCTCAGGAGTCCTTGGGGAGATGAAAGGGGTGCGGGGGCTGAGCAGGCTCTGAACTTTCCCTCAAACAGAACAACTCCCCATGTCGCTGTTTTATATATCGGGGTTCAGGGTAAGATTTTATTTGCATTAAGGGGTTTGCTGCTGAAAAAAAAAGTTGGAAAACCACTTACCAGACCATCACTTCCAATTGGAACCTGTGCTCTCCCAGGTTTGGGGCAGACTCTTCGAACTTCCCCTCTACCACAGGATGCCTGTCCGTGTTAGCATTCCTGGGGACCTTTAGCAAACAGGGGTAGCAAGGACCATGGTCAGGAGAGCTGACTGAAATGCCCTGTTCTGAGACCTTCACACCTGGGTGGAAGAAGAGTTTGTTTTCTGAGAGGATAAAGGGCTTGGTCTGGTTTCCCAGAAGCGTAGCTAGGATGGGATCACAGAGGGCAGTGCTGACCTGTCCTGCCCTTCTTAGTTTGGAGGGCAGTGGAAACCCCAGTGACTTCTGTCAGGGAAAACTAGGGACTCTTCTAGAGCCATATAGTTCCTTGGGATTAGCTCTTGGCCAAGAAGGCTGAGTATGGCTCCCAATTTTTAAATCTATTTCACTTTTTTAAAATGAGGGAAATAAGTGTAATTCCCATTTTTCAAAGAGTAAATAGGTGGAGAGGTATTTCTTGCTCTCTGGAGCCCAAAGGGACAAATAAGAACTTTGCTTAGGCCAAGGAAGGAGCAGAAGTAGGGCAACTCAGTCCTGCAATTATTAATCCTACTCCCCACTTATTCTAGGGCATACATACACTATTTTACTTTTTTAAATCATAAAACGGCAGGAGAACAGATTTGGTTAGTTTAGAAGAAAAGAAAAAGCTCTATAAATATAAATATATATTCCTGTATTTTTATTTAATAATTTATAAATACCAAGTTCATTTGACTTTTATTTTTGTGTAATATGTAATGGTGGTATTAAAAATAAATAAATAAATAAATAAAGCCCAAAAGTTTAATGAGAAGGACTGAACAGGGTTTTGTGACTTCTATACACTATAGTCTGGGGTCAGAACTTTCTTCCATTCAATCATTTCTTCATGACCTGCTAAGGGCAAGACTTAAGAGTTATAGCGATCTGGGCAGGTGTTGAGATTAAAAAAATAAAAAAAAATAAAAAATAAATCAAGGGCTGGGGTTTTGGCTCAGTGGTTCCTCTGCCTGCCTGGCAAGCACAAGGACCTGAGTTCGATCCCTGGTATCCCCCCAAAAAAATCAAGAGTTGTTTCCTCATCTTCCTCACCTCACCCCAACCCTGTCAGATATTCAAAGTGAAGAGCCCCACCTATGCCAACCTGAGCCTGAAGAGGGTGCAGGTATATGGTACTTTGGGACAGATATTCACACACCTAAACACAAAAAACTCACCCAAGGGCTGGGGATTTTAGCTCATTGGTTCTGGTGCCTGCCTTGCAAGCGCAAGGACCTGAGTTTGATCCCTGGTACCCCCCCCAAAAAAGAAAAAAAAAAACACAAAAAACACCCAAAATCTTTGTGTGAAGTCAACTCCCCAGCTGCAGTTTGACCTCTAATCAGAAATGTGCAATAATGAATATTTTTCCTTGATGCGTACTTCATACTTAAAATAGGTCTGGTAAAAATGGAGACCCTGTTTCCTTGCCTGATCCCCTAAGACATTTGGTTTCAGCCATTTGAGTGCAAACCACTAAACTAGCTAGAATCTTTAGGATTATTCAGCTCATCTCTTTGTACCACATCAAAATGGTGTGACAGGAATAGTGATCCTAATTCTAAATTCAAGAGGAAATTCCTAATCTTTCTGTAATCCAGTGCAATAAATTGGTATTTGGGTTTTGTGTTAACTTGTGAGGAATATAATTACTTTCAGCAATTCAGTATAATTAAATCACCTCCAAGCATGGTGGTGTATGCCTGTGATCCCAGCACTCAGGAGGCTGAGGCAGGAGGATTGGCATGAGTTCAAGTTACATAGTGAGTTCAAGGTCAGCCTGAACTGCATAGTGAGACCCTGTCTCAAAAATAAATAAATACATACATACATACATAATTGAATCCAGTGTTACCTTTCCATTCTCTATAGGAAACATCTACAGGAAAAGCTGTAGTGAAATCAGAGAGTGGCTTGGTGATCATGGCAGTAGGAGAAGTGGATTTAGATGTTCTTAATAGTTAATAACAGGTATGATAGTTGTTGCACTTGTCCTTACACATTATGACTGGTTGAGCAACTGACTGATTTATATTTAGCTAGTTCCAAAAAGCATTTGCAGTATCTTACAATAATACACAAAAGACAAAATAATGGGAAAATACAGATTTTTAAAGTAAGTGTAGGGCCGGGGATTTAGTTCAGTGGTTCCGCCACCTGCCTTGCAAGTACAAGGACCCGAGTTCGATCCCCAGTACCAAAAAAAAAAAAAAAAAGTAAGTGTAAAGGGAATATCAAAATATAGTAAGGTACAGTCAGGGATTT